GTAAGCATGGCAATGAGACGATATACAATAGAATGAATGTAAAACTAATGTTCTCCCATGTAAACTATCACATAATTCACAACAAAACATTTAAGAAAAAAAAAAAAAATTGAACCAAGCGTGCGATGAGAGGAAGACTAGCATGCCAGCGTGGGGGCGAGGGGTGGAGTGGGGGTCAGAAGAACTGCAGGGATGGGTTCTCAGGCACTGGGTTGAGTATGTTTGGGACATTGGAGGCACGTTCAGAGTAGCGCCTGCCTAACAAGGCATACGACCAAAGGATAACGCGCCTGGGTTACAAAGCTCCGCTGAGCAGGCCATGCCAGTAAACATTCAAAGACGCCAAAGAAAAGCGACTTTCGCTCTAAGGTACCCAAGGCGGTGCCTGGGTCTGCACTTTGCTGTTGGGAAAGAGAGAAGTGCGCAGTCGCCGTAGGGCGGGCCACCAGGCGCGGGCGCGCACGCGTTAAGATTTGTGCGCAAGCGTTAAGGTTTGTGCGCACGCGACCTCGAACCCGCGTGCGTGCACGGAGTCCGGAAGTGAAGGTTGGGGACTAGAGAAGGGATGGAGTTGAACGGGTTTCTCGCGCGTGCGCACCACAGACAATCTATTTGGCGGGTTTTTCCCGGCGGCTAGATTCTGCTCCGGCTCTTGAGAGGCTGGCTCTGCGGTAGCTTTTAGGAAGCCTGACACGTTCTCCACTGGATAGCAACTTCTCGAGATTTTTGCACCCTCCCTTCAGGGCGTTTTGGAATATCCCCGATTTTCTTTTAAGTGTTTCCCTGTGAGTGTCGGCTCGGGCTTTCTAACCACCTGAGGTCTAGGGTCTTTTGGTCCCGTCTCGGACCCCCTGAGGGCCTCCTGGGTCACCATGCCAGTGTCCGCCCAGCAACTGGCGGCGGACTTGGAGATCTTCGGCTTAAACTGCGAGAAGGCTATGATCGATAAATGTGAGTCCCTCAACCCCACCGGGACACGACCCAGGCGCTAGTCCGCGCCTTCGCTCGGAATCACCTAGAACAGAAGGGGGTGGGGGGCGCTCTCTAGTCCCCGAGTTCTTGGTGGTTGTAAAAAGAAAAATTAATCCGAGTTTTAAGGTTTGGGGTGGGGGACTTTGAAATATTGCCGGGGTGCTACATGGATCTGAAACGAAAAATGACGAAGAATGATTTCACATTATGGCAGTTTCAGAAAGGTGAAATCGAGATGGCTTAGGATCAGGCGGGGGGGAGGTGTGTACTGGTGGCGCAGCGGTTAAAACGCTCAGCTGCCAATCAAAAAGTCGGCGATTCCAACTCCAGCGCTCGAGGGAGAAAGGTGTGTCAGTTTCCATGTGTCATTCCAAAAATGACAATCTGGGAAACCCCCTGGGGCTTGCTATGAAAATCCACTCGATGGCATTCAGGTTGGGTTTGGGTTTTGAAGGATTTGTTTAGGCCGGTTGGCATCGCTGAGAAGTTCTGCCAACCAAAAAATACAACTTCTTATTCCTGACCTCCCTTTCCAGCCTACACCTTAAACCTGCTCTGATTCCTTCTTAGCATGTTGGTGGTCTGTGTAAATATGAATCCCTTGAAATTTTAGGGGTTCCTAAAAGTGAACTTATGCTTTGGCACTAACTTTTTGGGAGCTTGTCTGCTCCTTGTGTTGACAGATGGAGAATCAGGTGCCTGGATTCAACTGTTGCTTCCAGACCAGCAGGCAGGGGGACAGTGTCTTTACCTGTTGAAGACCACACAAAAAAGTCTCAGGAGATGTAGAAGTTCAGGCTTTAGAATTGGGGTGAATGGGCATTTGCCTTCACTACTCATGGATCCTTTGAGCATCTTTTATATGTATAAAGGCAGAATACAAATATGAATGTCTAATGAACAATTCCTTTCCCAGAAACCAGAATATTCTTAAATTGTCATACACCCAGCACATCTTCTTCCTAAAAAGGGACATGAATGAGAAACCTGAACAGAAAAATGCATTTGATAAGCATGAAACCAAAATGAGAAGTTTGTAATTAGGTGGACCAAATTTGTAACACTGAGCTGAAGAGCTCAAGGTGTCTTTTGCTTCTTTCTCACATGACACAACCATGGCAGTGGCGTGGGAATTCTAGACTTTGAATTCATAATCACTAACCTCAAAGAGTCTTAATGGTACAGTGGTTAAGTACTCCTCTGTTACATAAAATGTCATTGGTTTGAACCCACCAGCTTCTCTACAGGAGAAAACTAAGGCAATCTGCTGTTGTAAACATTACAGCGTTGAAGCCCTATGGGACAGTTCTCCTCTATAGGGTTACTATGAGTTGGACTCAACTCCACAACTATGGGTTAGTTGTTTGTTGTTGTTAAGTGCCATTGAGTCGATTCTGACCCATAGTGACCCTGTATAGGGTTTCCAAGGAGCAGCTGGTGAGCTTGAACCACCGACCTTGCAGTTCAAACGACTTTGCTGTCTGACGCATTAACCCACAGCGCCTTACAGTCACCGTGTGCACAATGGAACAAAACACGCCCAGTCCTGAGCCCTCCTCACAGCTGTTACGTTTGAGCCCGTTGCTCTTGTTACTGTGTTAGTCCAGCTCCTTGGAGTCGTCTTCTTTTTCCCTGCCAAGCATGATGTGATAACATGTCAAAAGTATGAGAGATGAAGTGTTTCCATCCTGGCTTCTAAAGAGCATTCTGACTGTACTTCTTCTAAGACAGATTTCTTTTACTGGCAATCTGTGGTACTTTTTTTTTTTTGATATCTTTTTTTCTTTTTTCTTTTTTTTAATTGACGGTTCCTTACTGGCCCTTATCTCCAAACAAGTGGCTGAACCAAGGGAAAAGGGAAAGGGAACCAGCTGGTGCAGGGAAGGGTCTTCTCCACAACATTCCATTTATACACAGAACTAAACAGACAAGCACAGTCACTATGCAGTTAGAAGTTGGCAGCCTGGAATTGGGGGTGGGTGGGGAGGAGAGTGGGGAGTGGGGGTGTTGTTAAAAAAATACAGGCCCCTCCCAAACTGAGGTGCCTGGGGGGGACTTGGTCTGTTTTCAACCCAAAAGGAATCAGAAGATCAAAAGCAGTTTGGGAAGGCCAGAACCTTCAGGGGTGGAGGGAAGAGGAGGAAGGTCCAGTGGGTGGGGGTTGTTTGGCAACTGGGGTGAAGGGATTGCCCTCCCCCTGCTGGGATCCCCCCAGCCTCTCCGGTCTGGCAGGAAGGGGGCAGACTGCAGCCCCCGACAGGCAGGTCTGGGGCTGCCAGATGCTCCAGGCAGGGGGCTGGAGGGGGCTCACAAGGGCTTGCCCTCCAGGGAGATAACAGTGCTGCCCCCCAGTTTCTCGGCCAGGGTACAGCGGTCCTTGACCTCCTCGAGGCAGTTTGCTTGTAATTCGTGCTTGATCCCTGTCAGCTACTTTTTGATGGCATCCTTGGAGCTAGCATAGATCATTTTGCTCTTAAATGGTGCAGACTCGGGGGCCCAGAAGATAAAAACCAGTGGGGCTGGTCCATATTGCATGTGGTACTTTTAATATTCTTTTCCAACACCGTAACGCCGATGCATCAATTTTTCTATGGTCTTCCTTATTCACTGCCCAACTTTCACATGCATATAAGGCTATTGAAAATACCCTGGCTTGAGTCAGGTACACCTTAGCCCTCAAACTGATCTCTTTGCTCTTGGACTTTTTTTTTTTTTAATGTTTTATTGTGAATTATGTGATAGTTTACATGGGAGAACATTAGTTTTACATTCATCCTGTTGTATATTGTTTCATTACCGTGTTTACAATCCCTTCCATGCATTATCAACCAACCAAAGGTTATACACTACAAGCCTGCCCCTGGGTCGTCAGCACCCAGCCTCTCTCCCTCTCTGGATCTAAAGTCCCCAGCTGCTCCATCTCTCCAAATCATCGTCTCTGCCTCAATCTCAGGCATCACTGCTTCTCTGGGTAGGGTCCTGTTCTCCGCCCTTCTCCCTTGATGGTCCCAGGGACCTCCACTCCTAGACTGAAAAGTTAATCACTCCCCTCCTTGCTACAAAATGTATACCTTTACATTTCCAACCCTTACAATCAGTCCTGATAACAATTATTCACTATTGTGCCACATGAGTGCTATCCTCATCTCCTTTCATCAGCCCTGCTTAGACAGATTGGATACTACTCAGTGGAGATTTACCTTCCTCCACGTCCTCTGGATCTAGGTTCCCTCTTGTAAGCTTGTAAGCCAGTCACTTCTTGGCTTTGTAGCCCCCTCCATTTTGGGTAGCCAATGTCCAAGTTGCCCATCCCTGTCTACTCTGTGTATGGAGGGGGTGGCAATGATCCTTGCTGTAAAAATTTATTCCCTCTTTTGAGCTACTGCATCCATAGGTGTAGGTCAGGTTCATCAAATTGTATCAGATTACTCTTTTTTTCCTTCTTCTTTCTTCTTCTAGTTGAGCTCTGATCATCTAGTCACTGAAGCCAGGATAAATGGGTGTTATCTGCAAGTGTGGGTGTTCTTGTGCCTATGCCTTTTCTTCTTATCAGCTAGACGCTTCACTCTCCACTCTAGTCGTCTGTGGCTATGTCACTTACTCTGGGCCCAAGAGTCCCCAGGTCTTGCCACACTGCTGGTCAACCAGGTCTCCACCCAGGTTCACAGGAGTCTATTGAACGTTGTAGGGCTTAGCTTGAAATTTCATTGCTATTTTTCCCTTACTTCCCTTTATCGGTGGCGAACATGGTGCTCTTGGACATTTGGAAGAGGTCTTTTGCAGCAGATTTGCCTAATGCCTAACCTAATGGGTTAGTTGGTAACCTCAAAAACCAAACCCACTGCCATTGAGTTGGTTCCAACTCATAACGACCCTGTGTAGGGTTTCTAAGACTGTATCTTTACAGGAGCAGATAGCTTTATCTTTCTACTGAGTAGTGGCTGGTAAGTTTGAACGGCCCACCTGGTGATTGGTAGTCCAGTGCTTATCCTTTGTTGTTGTGAAGCACCATTGAGTTGATTCTGAAACCCTATACAGTGTTTCCAAGGAGCAGCTGGTGGGTTTGACTTGCCAGCATTGTTAAGTGACATCAAGTTGTTTCTGACTTATAACAACCCTGTGTAGGGTTTCTGAGGAGTGGCTGGTGAGTTTGAACTGCCAGCCTTGTGGTTCAAGCTGATCTTTCAGTCCATTGCTTATCCGACAGCACCACACCAGGACTCCTACAGTAATGTCACCTAACGACCATACTGTTAACCTGGTTTATTCATTCTAAGACTTCCAGATGGTAGTTTTCTATCTATCTCCTTCTTAAACATCCACTCTCCTCTCCCATTGCCTTTGTTTCTTAGTGCATCCATAACAGAAATACTACAAGGGGTTAGTTTTTAAAAACAGAACTGTATTTTCTCACAGTTTTTGAAGCTGAAAGTCCTAAACAGGGTCTTAGCCATCATTCCTTCTGTGAACCTCTCTCTGAGCTTTTGGGGCCGCTGGCAATCCTTGCTGTTCTCTGGCATCTGTCTTTTTCCTCTCTATCTTGGTCTTTTCAATAACTCAGAGGTGATTAGGTTTGGGGCCTACCCTACATAACAAAAACTTATTTCTAAATTCAAAGGAGCTTCAAAAAGTTACCTTTTAATTACTTTTTTCCACAAAATTTTTGAAGTCCCCTCATATCCTCAGGTGCAAGGGCCAAGAACTCGACACTTATTTGGGAAGGACAAAATTCTATCTATAATACCCACCATCCCTCTCAGCTTATGAATTTACTTTCTGTTCCACTGAGAAAATAGAAGGAATTAGAAGACTTCCATAAACTACCACCATTACTTCTTCTCACCTATCTGCTTCTATTATAGTGAGTGTTGTTGTTAGGTGCCATCCAGTCAATACTGACTCTTGGCAACCTTATGCATAACAGAATGAAGCACTGCCCAGTCCTGTGCCAATCTCGTGAGCATTGCTACACTTGAGCCCATTGTTGCTGCCATGTGTCAATCCATCTCGTTGGGACTATTCCACTTTTTTGCTAACCCTCCATTTGCCTAACCATAATATTCTTCTCCAGGGACTGGTCCCTCCTAATGACATGTCCAAACTATGAGAGATGAAGTCTGGTCATTCTGGTTTCTAAGGAACATTCTGATATGTTGGTTCTTCTGGAAATCCATGGTACTTTCAATATTCTCTTCCAACACCATAACTCAAATGCAAATGCATCGATTCTTTTACAGTATTCCTTGTTCATTATCCAACTTTCACATGCATATGAGGCTATTAAAAACACCATAGCTTGATTCAGGTGCACCTTAGTCCTCAAACTAATGTCTTTGCTCTTCAACACTTTAATGAGGTCTTGTGCAGCAAATTTGCCTAATGCAATATGTCGTTTGATTTATTGACTAAACTGCTTCCTTGAGTGTTGATGGTTGATCCAAGCAAAATAAAGTCTTTGACAACTTCAATCCTTTCTCCATTTATTTTGATGTTATTTACTGGTCCAGTGGTGAGACTGCAACTCATATTGAACTCTGTGATCTTTGATCTTCATCAGTAAGTATTTTAAGTCCTCTTCATTTTCAGCAAGCAAGGGGGTATCATCTGCTTATCACAGGTTGTTAATGAGTCTTCCTCCAATCCTGATGCCATATTCTTCATATAATCCAGCTTCTTGGATTATTTGCTCAGTATACAGAGTGAAAAAGTATGGTGAAAGAATACAACCCCGACACATACCTTTCCTAATTTTAAACCATTCAGTGTCCCCTTGTTCTGTTTGAACAACTGCCTCTTGGCCTGTGTATAGCTTCCTCGTGAGCATAATTAAGTGTTCTGGAATACTCATTCTCTGCAATATGTACATAGATTGTCATGATGTACACAATTGAAAGCCTTTTTATAGTCAGTAAAATACAGGTAGACATCTTTCTCCACCACTCGTCTGTCAGTTTGTCATACTGTGATGGCTTATGAGTTGCTGTGATTCTTAAATACCAGCAGGGTCACCCGCAGTGAACAGGTTTCAGATGAGCTTC